AAATGAAAAAATATAAATAGATTATTTAACATATTACTTTGTAAAGAATAAAATGTATTAGAATAGTTGTTTCTATAATAAACAAAACCATTACTATTCATAAAACAATATTATATAATTGTTATACATTTATTAATATGAATTAAACATTAAAATAAAGTAAAGAAATATAATTATATTTATTGTTTTAATTTTAAATTCATTATCCATTTAAATTAAGAAATTTTTAATGTGTTTCTTTACCAATCATTACTATGGTTAATTTTATATAATATTTGATCATAAAATTTTCTATTCTTATTCTACTAATTATCCTCAACAAACGACCATTAGTCTTTCTTTCTGTTTTCTTATGTCTTTTATTTAAATAATAGATGATAGTATTTATTAGTATTTATTCTAATGTTTATTTATAATTTTAATAATTAATTAATAAGAGATGAAACGAATATTTATTTTTTAAATTGTCATATTATTCTATACTATTATTGTTATTTATTTGTTTCAAAATATTTTTATTCATTTTGATAGTAAAATTGTTATTATAATACTGTATATTTCTTTATTTAAAATGATATAATATTAGAATATAAAAAGAGTTTATTTTAAATTGTTGAAATGAATCGATCAATAACATACTTATTCTAATATAATTTTTTTGAAACCAAAATTTGTTTTATTTTGTTACAGATTTTATCAGTTTCTGAAACTTAATCAAAAACAAAAAAGTAGCTCAATTGAAAAAAGTATTTCATGAAAAAATATATATGTTTAAAATGAAACTATGCACTAACACATTTACTAAACAATTCATTACAATACAATAAAAGAAAATTGATTGTATTTATTTTATAAGATATTTGCATTTTGATAATATTTTATTGAGAAGAATCTAAACAAAGACAATTTTTTTTACTTTAAATGAAGATGTTACAAAAATCGTGATTACTAAACTAAACCCAAAAACGTTCATTTCATTAAAACAGAGAAAATAAACAAACAATAGATAGTCATCCCAGTCTTATAATCCCTTCATTTTCTTTATTTTTAAAAAAACATATATTATTTCAACAAAACATTGAATAATATTCTTAAAAAAATTATAGAAATTGAATTGAATGAATTTTAATAATATCAAAATATCAAAGCTTTTTTTAATATTATTAAATATGCTTGATATTTTCTTATTAACCAAAGACAAACAGTACAACAAGAAAATTAAAAATAATCATTTGAATGAATAGACACCAATTTATAATAAATGAAGTGTGATATTTTTTTAAATGAACAATATATATATAAAGAGAATAATAAAGAAAAATATCAAGTAAGAAATTGGAAAAAAAAGATAAGTGAGGTTTAATATAAAAAATGAAACAATTTCATTAAACTAAAGAAATTGAACAATATATTTAACAATAGATTTATCATTTTTTTCTACAACACAAGTTTCTTTATTAATACTTTGTAAAGAAGAAAAATAAGAATGAACTTGCTTTGAGAAAATTTTAACTTGAGAATCATTAAGAATCTGTAAACCATCTCTCCAAACTTCTTTAATAGTATTAAGATAATGAATTTTTTTCTTATTAGGACTCTTGTTAAAAACGAATTTATAACCAAATGATTGAAGTAGTGATTGGTAGAAATGAATTTCTTCTATTTTTCGATTATTTTGTCCTCTTCTTATTGCAGTTTTTGAAGTAACACCATTTGAAATATATTCTTCATATATTTGTAAGCATCTTTCTTTAACTTCTTTATATACATCAATAACTTGATTATTTGAAAATTTTAATGTTCCAACTCGAAAGAATTGTGTTGTTACTGTTGCCTGTTTAATTGGATGAATTAATGTTTCAGTACAAAACTCATTTAGTAATGCTATACATAATGCTTGTTGTAATGAAAAAGTCGTTCTTTCTTTTCTTAATGAACATGCTACTCTTTCTTTCTTTTTTTCTTGTAAACCTGTTGATGCTTTATGTTCTATTGTAAAAGAATTAGTTGTTTTTTCTGTTTCTAGAGAATTATCAATAGCAGAAGGTTGTTTCGTTGATGGCATTGCCATTTTATACTGTGACTTTATAGAGTTTTTAAAAAACAAAATTAAAACCTAAATTCTTTTTTTTTTGGTTTTAGTATCTCCCAAATTAGTGATTTTCTTTTTTTTTTCTATCACTCCTTACCTTAAAAGACTCATCTCTTTTGATATTCACCCACTCATTCTTCATAACTATAAAAATACAGAATAAAGTGCGGAATTTAGTTAGTTTATTTTACAATCAATCTCCTTTGGATTAAATACTGGTTATTGCATTTAATAACAATAATTATTATTTTTGTTTTATATTTTGAAATTAATAACATATTTTTATTTTATGTTTTTCTATAAAACATTATTTTTAGAATAAAAATTATAAAAAAGAAAGTATTGAATATTATAAAAAAATGTTAAGAATAATTATATAAAAAACCAATAAAATTATTCATAGACGTCAAAGGAAAACTCATTATTCTTGTATGAGAACAAAATTAAATTTCTAGTAAAAAAAAGAATAGAAAAGAAAAAAAAAGAATTATTACCTTTTTATTTTCGTTGTAATTCTTACGTATTATTTATCTGAATCTTTGTTGAATCGGGAAATTACAGAAAAATTAATTATTAAATTATATCTTTTTACATTAAATATTATTAGATGACTAAGGGGATAACTTCACAACAAGAAAAGACATTTACTTAAAAATATTAGATTATAATGGAAAAAATTGTACGTCACAAACCAACCTCATCTCTCAAAGAACTAAAACGTTGCTCAAAATCATTCGAAGCTATTCAACAAGCCTTTATTCTTTCATTATTGAACAATGAAGGTGTTGGGTTTAAAGTAAAAAAACCTGAAAGACGGTCTCAAAAAACATTACAACTTTTTCTAATTGAAACTTTAACACTTCCTTCTGGTAAAATTATTGAATATGAAAATGATGTTAACAATTACTGTAATTCATTTGTTGTTGAAGAATTAAAAGAGTCTGGATATACCCATCTTGTTCCAAGTGATATTAATTCTATTGCTTCAATTACTAAAGTTTCTAAAAATGGAGTGTCAATGGAACGTTTAAAACAAATAAAAAGACATCGTAATGCAAATAAAATGTCTGTAAGTTTTAATTGGATATTAGATAGATGTCTTTCTTATGGTTATGAATTCAAAAAGAGATCAACAAAACCTACTAAATACACAACCAAAATGAATAAAATATGTGGAGTATCAGGTAAAATGTCATTAAAATTATTACAAATTACAGAAATTGGAAAAAGAGTAAATGAAGAAGTCTATAAACGGTTTGATAAAAATATAACATCTGTTGAAATTAAAGGGAAAGATGATACTCTTATTGAAATAATAAAAGAAGTTTCAGAACAAGGAGAAAAGACTAGTGTTGTTACTGAGGTTATTGATTCACTTAAAGAAGAGAATGAAATTAAAGTCAAAGAAGAGCCTAAAGAAAATAAAAACGTTATAAATGAAATTACACCAATGGATATAAAAACTTATTTCACTCAACGCACTGAAATAAAAAATGAACCAGAACCAAATCTTTCAACTGAAATTCATTTTTTACCAAAAAATATTGATTATCAAATTATTTTTTGTGACACTGGCTTTACTCAACAAAATTGGAAAAGTAATGATTCTAGTATTGATGAAAATTTCTGTTCATCATTTGCTTAATAGTTCTTGTTTATGTTCACACCATGATTGTTTATGAATAAGGAAGTTAAATTACTCTCTCAACAAAACTGTGATTTAATTCATTCTTTTAAAATAAACTTAACTTATTTTTAAATTTTTCAAAGTTATTGAATTAGTTATTTTATTTTAGTTAGAAAATGACTTTAATAACAAATAAGAATAGAGTAAATTTAATTACTTTTTTTCAATACAAACAGAATATAATAAATGATGTCTCTGTCGTGTAAATTGTTTATTCTTTAAAGTAAAAGTTTATGTTAATTTATAACTCTTCTAGTTTAGCTACTACCACATCAATTGGTATTCTTTCATCTGGGTTTTGTTTCCAACATTGATCAATTAAGTCATATTGTTCATTTGTCATTGCCTCAGCTTTTGTTCTTCTGTTTCCTTGAGTTACAAAATCAGCAATGGACCATGGGAACTGAAATTGTGACTTTGGATATGCTGCACACCACCCAAAACATTCGTACATTGTGATTGCAAATGAATAAATATCTGCTGATTGTTTATACCTAATCTTATTTAATATTTCTGGTGCCATATAAACAGGAGTTCCTATTCCTTTTGTAAATGTCATATTTGTCATCATCATATTAATATTTCTTGATGCTCCAAAATCTGTTAGTTTACAATTAACTTGTTCATTTTCATCAAGTGATACAACAAGGATATTATCTGGTTTAATGTCTCTATGTAATATTCCATTTGAATGAAGATATGAAATTCCTTTAGCTGCGTTTAGCATGAACTTAATTCTTAATTTCATAGACACTTGACTTATATCTCTTTTCTTAATTAAAACACTTAATGAACCAAATTCTGCAAATTCTGTTACCATACATATTTTACTAGGAATAAATACTGCTCCATAAAAATGAATGATATATTCACTTCTAAACTTATCTAACATCACTACTTCTTTCTCAAATTCATCAAGAGATGATTGTTGTCTATCACTTTCTTTCATTTTCTTAATTGCTACTTTATTTCCTCTAAATTCTCCAAGATAAACAATTCCAAATGATCCTTCTCCTATTTTCTTTTCTTCTTTTAATTCATCTGGATCAAGTCGTGTTGATAATTCTGTCTCTGCTTTAATTTTAATATTAGATTCAATTGTTGTTCCTTTCTTCATATCCAATGAAAATAATTTAATAATATCTTCAACAAAACAACTGCATAATGGCTTAATAAATACTTCAAATTCAAGTGCTTTTCCTTTTGGAATAGTCATTAATTGTGGATTTGTTCTTATTTCATATTTGTCACATCCTTCTTTTACGCTAAATTGAACTTTAATTGTATTTTTTCCTTTATTTCCAATACATATTAATTCTCTTGTTTCTTTATTTACAGGAATTTGAACTGTTTCTTCATTGTCATTTTGATTATCTATTGTAAAATGAATTACTTCTTTATTAATTACAACATCTGGATTATCAGTTGAATGAAACTCAACATTAGACCTTGACATATCAAAAATACAATACTTCTTTC